ACAAAATGATTCCAGGAGATGAATCAAGTAGATCAGGCATCAGAAGCATTTCCGTTTTAAGCCACATGATAGGGATGTCAAAAAAGAAAAATATGATCAATACAAGAATCATGGATGTCATGGCTTACCACAACAGAGCAAATTCCAGGATACAAGGCATAGCAAATTACAGCTTGAATGAGATGCTCATCATAACTCCATGCATTGCAGGTGGCATTGTTGCTATCAAATGCATAGTTTAACTATCAATCAACCGGTGTGTTACAAAACCCAAGAACAGAATCGCTGCTGCATTTGATTGCCAGAAAAATGTGGGTGTGAACAAAAATATAGAGAAAGAATAAAAAGCGATGAAAACTTCAAAATTCGAGCAATCTAAGAAAAGGAAAGAACTTGCATTTATAAGACATCAGAGTTGCACTATGGTTGAGACCATATTACTTAGACCATAGTTTTACAGTTCAGGATTTTGTGATAAATCTTAGGCAAGTGAGAAGGTGCATTTCAGGAAGAAGTGTGTAAGGTGGTAAATGATATGGATGGAATGACTGATCTATGTATTAGCATCAGGTTACTGAGGTTAGAGTCTGATCTGGGTGGGCTCTTCTGGTTGCTCAGGGTAATGACTGATCTGGGTTGTGCTGGCAGTGTATGTTATGTGTATTGTTGTGGTATTGCTGATTGAATTGCCTTCCTATCTGTGCTAATTCTACTACTGAGGTATTACTGAGGTCTTACTGGTGGATTGGATCTCTTCTACTGCTACTTGAACCTGCTTCTACTCTGTTCCCCCAAGATTCCATTTCTAATCTTAGAGTCATCAGATGTTGTTTGGGTGGATGAAGGTTGTTATGTTGGCCTGAACTGCTGTAGTGTGGAGTGCTAAACTGTTGTGCTGTCTGTCTTACTATGCTTGGTTTGGGTTGGTATTGGTGTAGATGGGCTACTGATAAAAGGAGTAATTAATGGAGTGTAATCAAATGGAGTATAATCAACAACCAAATGGAGTATAATCAACAACCCAAGAAGTACATAGAGAGAGGATTGTAACTAATGCTTCGATTTTCCCATAATCCAAACAGACAACAAAATTAAGAATTCAATTAACTAATGTTATCTACTTGTTCTACGCTAAGTTGAGTAAAACGTTTTACATTCCCAATTCAAGTAATGCGAAACCTAATAAATTCAAAATTTTCCTTCTCTTTACTAGATTTTCTGGGAAACCAAATGGAGTATAATCAAAAACCCAAAAAGCAGATAGAGTTAAGAATCCAATTAAAAAATCCTGTTTACTTCTAGGTGGCTGCTAAGTTGAGCAGAAACTTTAAAAATCCCAATCTAAGTAATGAAAAGCGCAATAAATTCAAAAATCCTGTTTACTATTTTTTTTTTTGGTCGCTAAAAATAAGTTTTTGGTGACCAAAATTTTGGTTGCCAAAGATAAAAAATAATTTTTTATTTTCTATTAGGCGACTAAATAGTTTTAGTAGCCGAAACTTAATATATAGCGACTAAAGTATTTTTAGTAGCTAAAAATAAGTTTTTGGCGACAAAAATTTTGGTCGCCAAAGATAAAAAATAATTTTTTATTTTCCATTCGGCGACTAAATAGTTTTAGTAGCCAAAACTCAATATACGGCGACTAAAATATTTTTAGCGCTAAAAATAAGTTTTTTGGCGACCAAAATTTTGGTCACCAAAAGATAAAAAATAATTTTTTATTTTCCATTCGGCAACTACATTGTTTTAGTAGCTAAAACTCAATATACGGTGACTAAAATATTTTTTGTCGCTAAAAATAAGTTTTTGGCGACCAAACTTTTGGTTGCCAATTCCACAACCAACTTATTTTTGATCTTCCGCGACCAACTTATTTTTTGGTCGCTAAAATGTGACCTTCTGCGACCAAATTTGTAGTTGGTCGCCAAAACCATACCACTTTCTGCGACCAACTCATTTTTTGGTCGCCAAAATATGACCTTCTACGACCAACTCATATATGGTCACTAAAAATAATGATCATTCACGACTAATTAATATTTGATCGCTAAAAGGCTAGGAAGCATGGATACGGATACGGGATACGGATACGGATACGATACGATACGGCGATACTACAAAATTTGAAAAACTAGGATACGGGTACGGCGGGGATACGTTCGTAAAAAATATTATTTTAACAATTTTTAGTAATGCAGTATGCATAAAAATAAAACTTAAAGCAAAATACAACTTGATAAAGAAGAAAGATTCCTACAAAACTAAGAGTCTTCAAGGTCAATAGCTTCAACTTCACCATTTTTGAAGTATCCGTGCTTCATAGCTAAAAGGTAACTTTTAGCTACCAACTTTTATATTGATCGCGGAAAGTGGTCGCTAAAAGTGCAGATTCTTGTAATGGAGATTCTCTTATTATGAGGCAAATGATTGTGCTATCTAAAATAATACAATTTACAAAAAAAAATCTTATTCACTGGCATGACACTTGTCAGATTATTGAAGTAGATCGTATTTTATATTTCAAAATTATTTTTACTGCATGACACATTTGCTAGTAAAAAATCTTTATAAAATTTATTAATTTATACAGTATTTTTTATGATATTAAAGTTGGCTGATTAATAGTCACATATGCTTTGAGCTGCACCGAGTGGCATAGAAAATTGATGTCACTCCTGTCATGGATAGTTTGTTACTGTTTTTATTCACAGAAAATGTTTAGTGGACTGAATTTTTGTGGTTCGAATATGTCAAAATAGTGTCGTTTTACACTCAAAATGACTTCATTTTTTGTGTTTCGAGCCATTCGAGTTATGATTTTTCGGACCACCTAGCATTGTTGTTTATTCACACGGGCAGAGATTACAGGTCATCACCAACCATTGGATTCCAAATTTCTTAAAGTAACAAACTGTTTTGGGAATTAAGAAATGGGCTTTAGAATCCTTGCAAGTCTTTAATAATTGACAATTAATTTTCTCACTATACATGTCTTGTGAGATAAATAAAATATAGTTATCACAACATTGGACATCATCCCATCCCCCTGTAAGCTCATTTTAATGGTGAAATCTACTCACAAGTGTAGTATTATTTTAGTATCAGAGTAAGGTAAGTTATCACGCAGAGTATAGAATTGCATAATTGAAATTTTTAGTTTTTAACAATTTCATCATCACCGTTTTAAATTGTTTTCTGCAGCAACTACTCTGGAATTGAAGCATTAGTATAATTTGGTTTGTAAGTGGATGAGATTTGCCAAAGAAATTTGCAAATTATAATAATAGTTCTTGTAGTTTATTTTTTGTATCAATTTAATGCAATTCATATAATTTCACTTACAACAATTTTATATTTTTTAGGCACTTGGGTCAGAAGTTTAATTTCAAAACTTTTGAGCCGAAAGGACAATAATTTGAAAAGATCATATTATTCTTACAATATGTTTGTCTGTCCACATCCATCTAATAATATGATTTTATTTTATTTTTTTGACATTTTTTGGTGTATATCTGTCGTTTATTCTCTACTAAAATATATATTTTATAATATTTATCTATCATTTGTATTGGTTTCAATCACTTCCTAAAATAAAGGTTACATTAAAGATTTTGTTTAGTCACAAGCCCCTTGTTAGGCCTCATTTTGATGAAAAGCACATCCTCAAATTTTTAATAGGCATCAGTGCCATTGCTGACCCATTGATGAAGACAAAGACACTTGCATTCTCACCGCGTTGAACCTTCCGCACCCCATTCATTCCAATTTCTTAATATTTGTTCTTCAAAACATGAACAAGGACCAATTCTATTTCTCATTCTCTCAAATTATTGGTTGAGACAAGATGGATCGGACTCATCCAAGCGCTCCACGGGTTGATTGTCATTTGTCTTCCTAATCGCACCTGCAACAAGTCAAGTACGAAAGTTTCGAAATGGGGGTGGTACCTCTCTATAGACATTTCGACGACAAGTTAGATGTGAATAAGGTCAAAATAACATATTAGAGAGAAGGTTGAGAGTAGAGAGAGAGAGAGAGCGAATTACTTCTTGTCAAAACGTTCCTCAGAAGCTTCCTATATCTCTTACTAATCATTTCTTTATCCATTCATGTTGTCCCATTAGCCAAAAGCCTGTAACCTACTCGCTATCGGCCATGGTGGTTTCATCACGTCCCAAAGCCAGAGGTCTTGTTGACTTTTGTGAGAGAAAAAATAAAATAATTATAATTTAGATGTGACATTTTGTCTTATTGGGTTAAAAAACTTATTTTGTCTTTTTGTGACTATTTTAACCAAAAAATTTCATTTTAACTTATGCCAAATGAAAACTGAGAAAGAGTTTTTATAGATATGAGAAATCCTCCAAATTAAAAGGAATAATAAAAATAAAAACACTCCAGTTTTAACGATTCACCAAATTTTGCAATAATAGAAATTCAAAAATCCTCTAGCTTTTTTTTTTTGAAGACAATTCCTCTAGGCCCCATTTGTTTTCCGCTATCACAGTCCCCTCTGGATTATAATAGATGAACAGTGAAGATGGCTCATGTTTGCTTTGGTTTTGGAGCTCCAGATTCGTACGATAGACCTTGGCGAAGGGTATTAGCAGTCTGGGTTAGGAGATGATATTAGTAAAATAGTCTGTTCGGATTGGGTGTTACCGGACGTCCGGTCAATTAACCGAATGATCAACCACAATTTTTTATTTTTATTTTTCATTTATATACTTGTTGGGCATTTTTTTTAAACATTAATAGTTAATGTTTTTGTATTTTTTGTTAAGTAAAAATCATAATTTTATTTATTTTATTATTTTATATTTATTTTCTATAAAAATAATTTAACAATCTCCATACTGACAACTATTATTTAAACAAACACAATTTTACTAATCTCTTTACTATTAATCATCTCATTAACAATTTTTTTATCATTAATCCTCTCACCTCCACTATTCAACCTCTAAAAATAAACTTCACCTCGCTTGTAGCGAAATGATCAACGTCGTATATGCTGCAAACAAACAACGTAAAAATATTATTAAAAAGTCATCAGCACGCCAAAGTTAAATATTATTAAAAAGTTATCTGCGCGCCATTGCTGACCGACAGGCAAGGACACTTTCAGCCTCCCCCCGTTGAACCTTCCACGCCCCCCTTCATTCCAATTTCTTGATATTTTTCTTCGAAACACGAACAAGAACCAAATCAATTTCTCATTCTCTCAAACTATAATCCCCTCTTTTATTTCATCTTCTTCCTGTTGAATTTGCATCACCTCCAAAAAACTTCAATTGGGTTTTTTTTTCTTTTTACATTTGGTGATCAGAATCATATTCTTTGGACAAGAGCAAAAACATGTTGGGTCGGAATGCCATGGGAAAAGTTGAGATTCAATACGAATCACAGTCTCGGTTCTTTTCACTTGCTGAGATACAATCCGCCACAAACAACTTCGATGATCAAATGGTTATTGGGATTGGCGGATTTGGAAAAGTTTATAAAGGGTACATCGACAATGGTTCCACAATTGTCGCTATAAAGCGGTTGAATCCAGAGTCCAACCAAGGTGCTGATGAGTTTTGGACTGAGGTTGAGATGCTTTCCCAGCTCCGGTACACTCATCTTGTAGCTCTTATCGGGTACTGCAACGACTGCAATGAGATGATCCTTGTTTACGAATATATAGCCCATGGAACCCTTGCTGATCATCTCTACAAACTTAGTAAAAGAGGAGATGGAATTGGTCTTACTTGGCATCAAAGGCTCAATATTTGCATTGGTGCTGCACGCGGATTGGACTACCTTCATACAGGTACTCAACAAAGTTTCATACACCGAGATGTGAAGACCACAAACATTCTGCTTGACGAGAAATGGGTAGCAAAGATTTCGGATTTCGGGTTGTCCAAAGGCACAACAAGCTTTTCAAAAACCCACATTACCACAGATGTAAAAGGCACGTTTGGGTTTTTAGATCCGGATTATTTCAGGACTCAGAGGCTAACCCAGAAATCTGATGTGTATGCGTTTGGGGTAGTGATGTTAGAAGTGTTGTGTGGGAGGCCTGTCGTGGATACAAGACTTGAGGAGGATCAAATCAGTCTGGTCTTTTGGGCTCGGCATTGCATTGAAACAGGTAGGCTTTCTCAAATCATTGATACCTCTCTGAGAGGGCAAATATCGCCAAATGCTCTCAAGTGCTTTGTAGAAATTGCCTACAAATGTTTACATGATCGTCCACAAGAACGGCCTACAATGGCTGAAGTGGTGGCAGGCCTCGAGTTTGCATTGGCTTCACAACACGGGGCAATAATAGATGATGATCGTCATCCTCATCCCGCAACCAAAGCAACCAAAAAGAAACGTCCATCGTTGATGAAGCGGTTTGAGACGTCCATTACTTCTGCAGTGGATCTCTTCCTAGCTTCTTTGCATTCCAATCCCCCTTACAACAACTTCATGTCTAATGATGGTATGTTCACAACCAGAGTAGACCCGAATCGTGCACCACATCATACAAGTACATCTTATGGAAATAACAGTCGAAATCAGTCCTATACGAGCAATTGATTCTGCTATATATTATAATAGCACTCAGAAAACAATATGCTAGCTAGTACCATTGTTTGTAACAAATAGTAGGTGTGAATCATCACTGTCCATGTATATGTTACACTAAGTTTGTTTTTGAATGTTGGATTTGACAAGAAATTTGTATATTAAAAAAAAATGGAAGAGAAATATCTCAAATTTGTTGATGTGTAATTTCTTCATATTGGATGTGTACCAAAGTTTTTTTTTTTTTTTTTTCACGGTGAAGATTGCTTGTTCCTTAATACAGGTCCATTTATGTTTATTAATCCCCTAATTTCTGAATTACTCGGTAGCCAATAACATCCAACAGCAAGAAGCAACTAGGAGGAAGAAGCAGTGCAATAACCGATTCACAAATAAATTATGCAAATGCCAAATTCATGCGCAGCCAGGAAGCATTTCTAATCTGATTGTTATTTCAACTTGGACAGTAATTAACAACCTGAAAATTCAGTGGATCACGTCTTAACAGAATTTATAGCTCGTATTTTGTCAAGTATGAAACATTTTAGGCAACAATGGCATCCCGTGACAGCCATGTTTGTCTCAGTTGATATGCTAAGATGCAACCCTTTATTCAGAAACACACAAAAGCGACTTAAATCCATATGTCGGAAGTGCAGTCACCACCAGGATATCTCATCTCGTGGGCAAGGGAAGGCCCATCAGGTTCGGATCCAAAGTCCACAAAGAAATTCTGGTTTATTGCAAGACCACCTTTCTCAGTGTTGACATCGATCTGTAGCATGTGTGAGCCTTTCTCCACGACATCAGGATAAAACTGACGGTCCCATTGACTGAAGAGTGAGTTGGTAACATAAAGCCGCTTCCCATCTAAGCTCAACTGGATCATCTGTGGTCCTCCTCTCAATCGTTTTCCCTATAAACAAGACAGACAATCTCATCAATCTTTAACTATTCAAATATCAAGAGCAAGCCTCAAATTTCTAGTGGGAATGTTCAGATAGCACAAACCTTGATCTCTGGGACATCGACCTGGTATGTTGTACCATCATCAGCCTCAGCCAATACAGAGCTTCCTTTTTGAATCAGCCCTCCAACCCATACTTGGCCTGTGAGTACAGGGTTCTTAGGGTCCTCAATGTTATACTGTCTGATATCACCATGAAGCCAATTCACCATGTAGAGATAGCAATCATCAAGTGATATCAGAAAATCAGTTATAAGTCCAGGCATTTCAGGAAGAATCCAGTTTTTCACCTTCAATGGTTTCACCGAGATTGCAATCTGTGATGTAGATGATACCATCATTGAATGAACATGGTGCCTTGTGAAAGACAATACGAACAAGAAAAACACTTATATTTACTCACCTCATGGCTCCATGATCCCTCTGGGGCCTTGAAAAATCGCACCATGTTGCTGGTTAAGGCACACCCAACAAACCCTGTATCTTTAGATGGGTCATGCAGGAATCTTATCTGCAAACAAAGTGTTTGACAAATATATAGTGGAATCTATTCAACAAGATGTCTCAATTGCAATAAAAAGAATACAAAAGCCATGAAATTATTTGAGTCTAGAACCATAAAAGAAAAAGGTAGTCGATGACATTTTCTACACGCACCTCTAAGGGTAGTAGTCCTGTATTTCCAAGATCCATAGTCTGTTTTAATTCACCATCAGGCCAACTATAAACGTGCAAATGGCGCCCATAAAGGCCATCTGAGACATCCTGGAGGTTGAAACCTTTGGTGAAAGCTGCAGGGGCTCCCCATGATGTGCTGATCATTGTCTTGTGCCGGGGTTGGTACCAGAAATCATAACCAAAAAGTGGACTATGCCCTGGTTTATCCCACCTAAGAAGTTTGATAATGAGCTTCAAGATTACGTAGAATCTAGTTTGCAAATTATTCACTCAATTCCCATTTGGTCAAAATGGAGAGATGTTTAAAACCATATAATGTAGTTGCACCAACTCATTAGGGTACTTGAAAGGTACCCAAATATTAATTGAAAAACTACCTTACAAAAAGAGAATCCAAATTACCTTCACTAATCAAGCCAAATTCTGATATGAAAAATAGAGAATACAATTCACGATCATATGTTTGTTCATTTTATCTAGTAGCAATTCTATAATATTGAAAGTTCATTCTCATCAAGGAATGTCAAAGCATTATTGACACAATCAAGTGCTCAAATGTTTAGTAGTTGACATACTATAAATTCTAAAATGATGTTTGTAGTATAATTAGTAATCAATAGTAAAAAAATTAACAATCACATGTGATGTTTTAATTTAAGTCAATGAACATCGTAGGGCATATTTCACATCACTAATCCTCAATTACTAATAACAATTTTGACATTTAAATGTCAGCAACAATTATTCTGCATCAATTGGAAGAAGAGAAAATAAAATAACAAGAAACATAATTAAAAAAAGTCCACAACTATTATTTTATTTTTTAAAAAATGTGACACTAGAACTTAGTGGCATGAAATATAAATTAAATCAAATGGCTGCAAAGGATGGATACTGGCATTAAAACGAGAAGCAATGTTTATATTCACTGAGAAAGTTTGTACAGGAATATATCCCAAATTAGATAGTGGCATTACCTTCCTTTCACATTAAAGTCTGAGTCGAGAAGAAGAAACCCATTTCCCTCAGCTTTTCCATCTTTATCTCCAAGGCATGAGACCATTATATCACCAGAAGCAAGACAATGTGCTGTATGTGGATATGCTAATCCAGTCTTCTGAATGATATCTGTCGGCTCCACATATTTATGCAAAGTGGGGGCCCTTGGATTCTTTTGTGTGTCAATTGCATATATGCGCCCAGATCTGAAATAATTAAAAGAGTAATAATGCCGCTCAGGGTGCATGAATTTCTTTTTCCTTTTCATTAACTGAAATATACTATAAAATTTGAGAGCTTTCTATTAAATTAGATTAACCATCTAAATCAAAAACTAGTTCAAACTGTAGTATGAGAGTGAACGCTGAGGGCAGATTGGGTATCTGATGAGAATAGATCCATGCCATATTGCTCTTCTTACTAATATAAGGTCCAAATCCATCTCCGCCAATGAGATAGTAAACATTTAATTGCCACGAGAGAAAAACTAAAACACTACAGAACATATTAAAAATGTTCTTTACACAAGCATTGTGTAGTTCCAAGTAGATTCCAAAAATGGTTTCTCCAGAGTTAAAATCATACTGAAGTTTGAAAAATGTGATACTGCTACTTTCTACTTATATCGATGGGAAAGTTAAACTGATTATTGTGTATTAATGATATGTTAAAGGCAAAGATGAGAAAAGCTAAAACATAACAAACAGTATACAGGATTTACGTTGTTTGGCTATAAGCCTCTGTTTGTGGAGGAAGGATTTGCATGGATTGGGGCACTGGTGTGGGGTATGAGAATGTATCTAAATGCCCAATTCATCTAATTCCATGTCCAGAGATATGGAAATGACAAAATATTCACAAGGTGTCATAGAGCATTTAATGCATAATATGGGACTTTTACGCATAGTTTTATTGTTAACTTGAATTACTAGATATGGATGCTAAGTGAATGCCCAACTACACATGTTGGAACACATCTCATGCCCTAAAGCAATATAACTTTTTACCACATTATGATTGTGAGGTCTCTGGAAAACCTCAGAAAGTGTCTATGCAACATAATTCTGGTCTTACACTAGTGAAGGCAAGACAAGGTAACGCCGTGATGCTGATGCATCTCCATAGCAAGAGCTGCATGCATTCCATCCAGAATGATGTAATTCATCACCGATATGAGGCATAGGCAGTCTGTGGATGACTTTTGAATAAGTTTGAGAGTTCGGATCTATATCCACTGTAGCCAGGTAATCAGGCTTCTCTGTCCCTGTTCCTGTGTAAAATTAAATCAGAATAAGTTACCTAAAGAAAATGAGAAGGAAAGAAAAAGAATCATTACAGTAGTAGTGGTCAACTAGAGGAAGACATGCCTGGCCAATTGATCTATCCTTTAGGTTGTGTTTGGATCTTGAATTTGAGGAGGGACTTGTGGAGGGAAAGGAAAAATGAGGGAAAAGTGAACAAAATTTAGCTTATACTTCATTCTATTTTCCCAAAAACACAACCTTAAAAAAAGGATGCCAGTCAGCCAGCCGCCCACCCCCACCACCGGGCCACCTCCAACCACCTGTCTGCCACCACTTGCCACTTTAAAATCATGCTAATGAAGATCCACTTTCACCTTCAGCAAAAATGGTTTCCATAGCCCCATAAAAATGAAGTCCCAACCAAGTTCCATGAAGAAAGAGTACTACAAATCTCATTTCACGTTAACTACAAAAAATTTCTAATTTATTCCATCTAGTTATTAAATATATGATTGCTCTGTGATCTTTTCCCTTATGCTCTGTTTGGTTGGGGATTTGAGGAGAGATTTGAAAAGAAAAATATAAAAGGTAAGTGAAATGTGAATAAAATATACCTAAATTTCATCTAATTTCACACACCTTTTCCCTTTCTCCTTCCAAATCCCTCCCCAAATCTCTCAACCAAACACAACGGTAATAGTTTTCCAATGTATACTTGTCATATACACATATTTGTGAAAGAAAATGTAGAATTAAGCTCTCTGATTATAACATTTCTATAAAAAAACTGCCAAGATATATTGCTAACTCTAAATGCCATAAACTGAAGAAAATACCACAAACAGGGCAATCATACATTTTTTTTCCCGTTTCTTTTATATTTTCCTTTATATTAATCATGCAGAGTTAAAACCAGCTTATCTGCTCTATAGTGCCAACAAATTTTTTTCCACACTCTATATTAGAAATAGGCTAACACAATTGTGGTTATGAAATAGTAGTGAAACCGGGACAGTAGAATGTATTCATACCCCACTTTTGGGTAATCAAGTACTAATTAACTTCTAAAATGAAAATAATAATAATAATAATAATAAAAAAGCAACAAATTTTTTTATTTTTTTATACTTTCCTATTTTTATGAGTATCATAGTATAGAAGTATGAAGTTGGTAAATCCACCTAATCTAAGCTAGAAAGAAAATCAGGGTGAATTGGGAATGCTGATATAACAGGGTAAATTGTGAAATTTAGCCAAAAGCTAAATAAAATTAAGAAAATTCACTCATTCAATATGTCAGCTGCCACACATATATCTTGTTGCTTAAAAACTTAGAATTGGGACGAGTAAATTAGCACAATCACGAGTGAAACTCAACAGAAATCTGAATTATGAGGATATAAGTATGAAGTTGGCAAATTCAACAACAAACTCATATTCCAAACTAGAAAAAACAATCAATAATTGAATGGTATTAGGTAATCCTGTGAGATTTCAATTGACATGGGTCCAAGAACTCAAAGAGCGAGAAAATCTATTTTTGGGGAAGAATAGAGAGTGAGAAAATCTTTTTGAAAAAGAAAAACAAAGAAATAATCATTAAAAAACAGGCATCAAATCTCACCCACCACTATGATAAAGCATACAGCTAAAATGACTTAAATATCCTTAAAATTACAATCACTGAAACAAATTGAGATACATGGCCCCGTTTGTTTTTAGAGATAGAATGGAGAGGAGTCATAGTGAGGGGATTAATAGTGGGGGATTATTAGTGAGGGGATTGATAGTGAGGGGATTAATAGTGAGGGGATTGATGGTGAGGAGATTAATAGTGAGGACTTGTTAAATTATTTTTATTGTTTTAATGATAGTTGTTAGTGTAGGAATTGTTAAATTATTTTTATATAAAATAATAAAAAAAAATTCTCAATATATAAAAAATAAAAAAAATAAAAAAATTCCTAATCCCCTCACTATTTTTCTAATACCATCTATATCTCTTCCTTACCAACCCCCTTCCAAGGGGACTACTAATACCAAGGAATTAATAGCCCCTCCCCATCTCTCAAAACAAACAAGCCATTAGTAATACAAGCAATTAATCTCAATCCCCTCCCTATAACCATAAAGAAACGGGGCCCATATATATAAAACACACTTAAAAAACTAGTAACCCAAACATGTCCTTAACTTCTACCAACCATGATCCCACAGCACTCATGAAACAAAACATATAAGATCAACTAAAAAAAAAAAATTCCCCATAATTAAAATTAAAAAAGTAAATTCTGAATCTGAGCTGATCTGATCTGAGAAAAGTGAAGAGAAAGAGAAGGGAAGGGAAGATTATTACCAGTGTAGACACAGGTGACATAGATGAGCGATTCTCTGGGACCAGACATAGCGGCCAGTGGTGATGAGTACCCAGGTCCCCCCTTGCAACACCCATGATTGTTCTTCACCTCCTTCTCTGCAATTGACCCATGTTCCATCACCACCATATCTGTAGCCATCTCTCTCTCTCTACAATTGCAACACTAGATCAAAACCCACTTGAAATCACTGATAACCCCCCTCTCTCTCTCTCTGGGGAAAAATGTGAACTTTTATTTATAACCACCGCTGGTCTGAGGTGGCACGGTGAACAATTATAATTGGCCACACGTTCGGAGGCAGATTGCCTATTATTGTTGTTGGGTGCATGTGGGCGGAATTATGCACACAATACAGTACAATATATAAATGGAAAGTAAACTCTTCTATTTTTAATTTTATTTAAAAAGAAATGTGCAAAAAAAAAAAATGATATAATAATTTATAATGGCTTTTTTACTAAAATACTCAGTCTCCAAACGAGGCCTAAATATCATACTTAGACCTTGTTTGGCATGATCTAAAAAAGACAAAAAGTCAAAAAGTCACTATTCTATTTAAGTCACATCATCTTATTTAAGTCACATCATGTCTCTAACACATCACTTCAAACCCAACTCATACCCAACTCATATTTCATAAAATGTCAAAAAATACAGATCATCTCAAACCACCCCTTAATACAGTATCTCTTCACTTATTTATATTTTATTTGGTATGAATTATTTTTTTATATCTAATAAGTCTACATAGTAATTAAAATATCTCTAATAATAATATAGTAAAATATCCATTAATGTTCACATCGACAATGTGAACATTCACATTGCCAAATATGAATGTTCACATCACTAAATTATTAAAAGGGTTTTGTTCAAAAAAAAATTATTAAAGAATTAAAAAAAATATTTATAAAGGTAAAATTCTCATAGAATATTTTAAATATGAGAATTAGGATTTAGTAGATCAAATGTTCAAAATAATAAGACTTATTGCAATATAATAATAGGTTATCGACTAATTGAGATACAAGTACTTGAAAGAGAATTTCCCAATAAATTTTTTGACTTAAATATATTGCACATTCGATAATAAATCTTTCAATAAATATATCATAATACAAAATAAATCTTAGGAAAAAAAAAAAAACCTTCAAGCTACAGAAGAAAAAATAAAATAAAATATTATGCTTTTTTTTTCGATCAAGTTTTAATGTGATTTTTTCATGTTTCAGAAAAAAATTTAATTTTTTTATTTATATATAATAATATTTTACAAAAAATCTCATAATATAGATGTGATAATATTATTATTCTTGTAAGTCAATATCATTTTTATAAATATTTTATTTTGCAAATGAATATCTATAAATCACATTATTATGTAAAAAGTAACATATAATTTTTATTTGTATATTTTTAGTTATGTTTAAAATAATTTACTAATAAAAAAAGTATATAGAAAAGTTTTATTGAAAAAGCGTAAGAGTGGTATTTTTAAATAATTTTTTTTAATTATCACCTAATAATCAACAATTAATATTAATATAAGTATATAAAATATATATTTAAAAATATTTATTAAAATTTTAATTGTTTTAGTATTATTTAGTCACTAATAAGTGATCATTAACACGACCTTTTAAAATAAAAAAAATATATTTTGATAACTGTTTATTTTGAATGAATATATAGAATTATTTATAAGTAAATTACAAATACACTTTTTGAGATTTACTTAAAATACAGATTGTCCCATATAATTTCAAAAATTATAAATACGTCCTTGTTCGAATTTGTTATTTAACAGAATTAACTAAAAAATGAAATTCATAATTGCTCTTTTGTACAATAATAAAATTACCTAAATTATTAATTGAAATATATTTTTAATATCATTAAAAACTGTTAATTAACTTTGTGATTTATTAATAAAAATGACAATTTGTTATGAAATTAGAAATCTCAGGGGTGAAATATAATTTTTAAAATTACAGAGGGTGATTTGTATTTTAATCAAATCTCATGATATATTTGTAATTTCAGCCATTATTTTTATTTATTTTCATACAATATATAAAATAGAGTTATACTAAAGATCCAAATAATTTACTAAATTTTCTATCAAACTTGTGTAGAATTTATACACATGTAATTTGTGTGAGTCCTACATCATATAAAAAATTTGATAAAAAAATTAATAAATTATTTAAGGTCTATTGCATTTTCATATAAAATATCGAGTGTGTCCAGGGGGATGTATCCAATGTAACGACTTGTTATCTGGCATCATAGACGATTGTGACTGCTCCACGTATGTGGACAACGGCGATTGTGTTTGTCGAGGCACCTTGCGGCGCTTGTGGATTAAACTTGAAAAAATGTTTAAAATTCTAAACATTTTATTAAAAGTTGTGAAATTTATATCAGATGAATTTCCTATAAATCTCATATTTATATAAAATATTTGAAATCACTATCATTACATTTAAATATGGTGTGCATAAATAGAGTGTTGTGGTATTATAAATATCAATTAATATATATATTAGTGTATTAATTAGTGTTATGATATTATTATTGATCACATTTATTATATAAATTACAAAATATTTAAAATCATATAAATAATATCATATCATCTGTTAATAAACTAATATGTACATTAATTATCACATATAACATTATTCAAATGGATTGAGGCATAGAATTAATGACGTGGATACAGATGATTGGTTGACAAGTTCATTGATTAACCATCGAGGATGTTGTTACCGTCAAAGGATAACATTTTAGGATAGAGACGCAAATCAATTGATGAAAGCAAGGTGTGGAGTGCTTCTTATCAATGAGTAGGGTAGACAGACATTCACACGTCTCAAAATAAAAAAAAAAATGAGGAGCTTTAAATGAGCTCTAATATGTTTTTAATGGGAGTGAATATTATTGTGATGTAATATTTTAATATTGGTTTTATTTATTTTTATTTATTTTATTCTCTATCACATTATTAAAATTTAATTAGAATTTTAAAATTAGAGAGATATATCATTGGAAAATGTTTGAGGGTTACAATTTTTATGGTCACAATGGCTCAAAACTGCCAAAACAACGTCGTTTTAGCATGTTTTGCACCCAAAACGACGTCGTTTTGACAGTTTTGAACCATTGTGGCCACAAAAATTATAGCCCTCTAGCA